CTTTTTTGTAAATGTAAGTATTTTTTTGTTATATTTGTTTAATTTTATAGATCTAAATAGTTTTTGGTTTAAAAAATGTTTAGGGACTTAATCGTTCAAAATATTAATGTTCATTGGGGTTTTTTTGGGACTTTTTTCACTATTTTACCACTTTAGCTAGTTGTATAAGTCATAAGAATGTATCCAACAGGTTTTAGAAAAGTCCAAGGAGTTATTTAACATGTTTTGGATTGTTCAAGGACTTATGTGTTCCAAAAATTGTCCAATGAGTTATTTAACATGTTTTAAATTATTCAAGGATTTATTTGTTTCAAAAAATTGTCGAATGAGTTATTTAACATGTTTTGGATTGTTCAATGACTTATGTGTTCCAAAAATTGTCCAATGAGTTATTTAACATGTTTTAAATTGTTCAATAACTTATTTGTTTCAAAAAATTGTCCAATGAGTTATTTAACATGTTTTGGAATGTTCAATGATTTATTTGTTCCAAAAAATTGTCCAAAAACTTAATCATTCCAAACACTGAAGTCCATTGAGTTTTTTTAGACTTTTCCCGTAGAATTAACAAAATATCTAACCAATCACTGATACATAATTACTATATTACCCCGTTAGAGACTACTTGTAATACTATCTGGGCCAAATTATATGATAAAGTAACATATTTTAACTTGATTTTTATTTTGGGTAACGTATTTTTAGAACTTCTATTTTAGTATCCAAGATATAAAGTTTTAAACATTTAAGTATCCAGGTAACCGGTTGATGTGACGAGTGATGTGTATCTGATTAATACTTCAACAAATAATACTTAGTTGAATACTACATCAACATGATAACATGTTAATGTTTCAACCAGTTACTCATGTACTTAAATATTTAAAACTTTACCTCATAGGTACAAAAATGAAAGTTTTGAAAGTACGTTACCCAAAATATGAAACAAGTTAAAGTACGTTACTTTTTAATGCAATTTGCCCTACTATTTGAGCCTTTTTTAATTATATTTATGTTGCATTATAAATAATTTTAACAATTTTTTAAAGAAAAATTATTAAATATTATGTACAATTTATTATCGTAAATATTTTAAAATTCAAAATTACAAGTTATTATAATTTATGTATAACTTATTAATTTGTCATGTCTTGCTATAAGGTTCTTCGAAAATCCGGAACATTCTGGATCAATCATGTAGATAGAAGAACCTCGGAGAAGATCCAAGATGATCCATGCAACGAACAAGAAGAGAAGCAAGAGCTAAAAGACCCAAAATTGGTTAGAGCGTGTGTAACTAGAACATTCCTTATAAAAACCTAGATAGTGTTTTCTATATAGTTTTATAAAGCATTATTATAAATAATTAGTGAATAATAACAAAATACTCCATCAAAAAACCCTCAATTATTAAAATTAAAATAAATTAAAATTTTATTTTAAAATCTAAGACTTAGGGGCCGTTTACCAAACGCTTACCAAGTAACCTTACTTTACCGGATAAATATGGTAAGAACCGAGAATCTTACCCGGTAAGAGCGAAACAAGGACCAAGAGTCTTACCCGGTAAGTGAGGACGACGACTCTTACCACGGTAAGCCCTTACCGGATAAATTGTTGCATACGATGTTATTTTGGTGAACTAAAATCTTACCTAGTAAGTAAATAATAGTGTTAGATTTTACCGGTAAGCACTTACCGGGTAAGTGTTTGGTAAACGGCCCCTTAAATTATAATAAATTTGGGATTTAACAAACAATACCCAAAAAGATAATTTATAATTAATCTCTAATTTGACACTCATAACCACATTTTTTCATATTTTTATCTTATTTTTCAGTTAGCAAAATATCCTCAATCACTTGTAATTTCGATATTTTTCTAATAGAAATTAGGTTTTTCTTGTTAACAAAAAGTTAATGTCAGGGGTGTTCCAATCATTTTGAAGGAGTAATAAGTAAAACACAATACAAAAGTTCATAGTTTCATACCATCTACTGTGTATTAAAAGTCTAGCAAATAAAGACAACATAAATGTCTTAAAATGACAAAATAACATATGAAATTCACTTAAATTAAATCATTCTTCTAACATCTTTTTTGAAGTCAGATATGAGAATCGCCAAAAGGGCTAAAATAATAAAAACCTAAAACATTATAAGCAGGCTAAAACATGTATAATTGAGCCCTGTTCTATATCTCACATTAAAAACCCTGAATAACATACAACAATACATAATAAATATAAAACAAGCAGCATATGTTGTTTTAAACCAAGCAACAGATACTTAGAATATATTGTTTTAGAAGGGCTGGGTTCCGACGAGAAAGAGTTACAGTGAGAATCATAAAAAAGACTCTCCACCCACATTAGGATGAAATGCACCAGATCAATCTATGTATCAAGCGCGATTCATGGATGGGTTTAAAGATTAAAGGTGATCAAAAATCCAAATCTTTTCTTATGCTTTTCATCTTAACTCTATTTCTTACACGATCATCCGCCCTGTTTTAGAATGTGTAAAGCGTGATTATTTGTTTCGGGAATTAAGTTTCTCTTATACAAAACTAAGTATTTGTTGCTTGTTTTTAATGAGAAATGGGTCATAGATAAACCCAACTTTTTGCAGGGAGGAGATTTGATTTCCCGTACCCACCAGGGACGGGTCTGCATTCGCCCCCCGCCCCCTTCTCATGCCTACTTTTAATCACGTGTGATTTGGTGCACAAATAAATACGTAACATCTCTCGCATGTTATGCAAAATGAAGAAAATGGATATTTTGGTTTTGCTTCAACAGAAAATAGATAAGGTGAAATGGTTAATGTACTCTCCAAGCTGATTTCCATGAGAAAATAATTTTTTATTTAGATATATGCGTATTAAAAGATACCTCACGTGGAGACGCTTTTTTTTGAAGTATATAATATCCATATACAACAAATAGAACAAAAACTCGCACACCCTCCTCACCTTTTGTGAAGTTTGAACCTCTAACTTTTTAGAAAGCCAAAAACTCACATACCTCTTTGTACATATTGTTCTTCCAAGTGCCTTCTGGTCACCTTCCGAAATGTTATGAACATTGAAGTTGCAAATTTATCATTTCTCATAAGAAATTCACATAGATTCTACAAGATCCCCAAATGATATCGAGTAGTAAATATATAATCACATAGATTCTCAATATATGCTGGGTCTAACCGTTACACGTTGGATATGGGAGAAAGGTCATTAAGTTCAGCTCATGACTTATGGGCTATTTTTCAAGAAACAGGCGTGATGGGTATGTTATGTGAGTCTCCTACGAAATAATCTTCAAAGCTGGACCCGACAAGGTAGGTTGAAGTTGTTGACGTTTTAACTCATAAAAGAACACAATCTAGACAACGAAGGGTCGATTTAAGATAAGAGAAAAGCAAGAATTACTAAATTAGAATGCCAATAGTTTCAAACGTTATTATTAAACTTAGGGGCCGTTTACCACACACTTATTCGGTAAGCGTTTACGGGTAAAATTTAACACTATCATTTATTTACCGGGTAAAATTTTAGTCCACCAAAACGGCATCGTATGCAACAATTTACCAGATAAGCGCTTACCGTGGTAAGAGTCGTCGTCCTCACTTATTGAGTAAAACTCTTGATCCTTGTCTAGTTCTTACCAAATAAGATTCTTGGTCCTTACCATATTCATCGGATAAGGTAATATAACTTGGTGTTTACTTACCCGAGTAAATATTTGGTAAACGGCCCTTATACAAAAATAATCTAATTGACGTGCCAACGAGAGTAATTTCAACATAAGATACAGTGTCAAATATTAATATTTACGATTTAATGACTGGAATACAAATAAATATTTTCCCTCCAATTTATTATGTTCTCTCTCCTAATAAATACGTTCTAATTATTAATATTAAATCAATTATTATTTCTTAATTTTTATAATTATATTTGATTATGCTTATTAATAACCATAATTTTATTTTATTTAAAAAATTCAATTTTATTACAACAACTTATATATATATATATATATATCTATACTATATTATAAAACATTTGACAAAAAAATCTTAAAAACCATTTTTTATTCATGAACTATTGTTTATTGATACAAGTAAATTTTGCATAAATACAATTTATTAAAGTTTTTCATATTTGAATTCATGTAATTAACTACAGATAAATATAATCAAATATTGGATAAATATCTCATTTTAAATATAAAAAATTTAAAATATAATTAAGATAATCATTGGGTTCTAACAGAATACTTAGTTATTATCTTTATAAAAATTATGTTATTAAACCTTAATTAAATTACTTCGTTACTAAATCTAAATTAAATTATAATAAAAAATTGAATTAAAGAAATTACACAAAAAACAAGAATTTTTAAAAAGATTAATTTGATATTGATATCAATATATTTTTTTAAATTTTATAATATTTTTAAATTTATATTTTATTAAAAAATAAAAAAATTATCGCATTCTCAAAATCACATAAAACCGTATTATATCAACATAAAAATAAATAAAACGAAATAATGAAATCGAGATGTATTTCGATCCATTACATGAATATGTTTGTGGTTTATTTTTAAAGAATCATAGGGGTAGAGGGGTAATTTGATGAGGGAGGGAAACATTATTTGAGAAATATTAAGCTGTGTTTTGTACGTATATGTGCTTACGGACATGAAAACAGATTTAAATGCAGTTGAAGACACTCCACAGTCCACACCCCTCCGCTGAAATCATTCTCACTTCCTTGTCCAATCACAACTTTTTTCTTCTCTCTAAATATAGATACAGGTTTCATGTGTCTATAGATTTTGTACGTGTTCACACTTTTTTAGAGAGAGAAAACAGTACACACACACACAGTGTTGAGAGAAAGACACTTCTCTCCCTTCACGACTCCAGTTTCAAAACTCTCTTTCTAAACCAAAAAGGAAAGAATCCGATCATGGCGAGATGTTTCAGTTGAATCTTTGTTAGATTCACATGGGTTTTTGGTTTATTTTCGTCTTCTCCAGAGACCCTTTCTCTTTTGTAGTTTGACCCTCTCCAGGTATACCTCTCTCTCTCTCTCTCTCACACACACACAACACACGAATATGTGTGGAAAGCTGGAAACCCGTATTTATTTTCTGAATCTATTTCTGGGTATGAAATATTTATTGTTCACATGCTTTTGCTGAAATGGGTTTCATAAACTTTGTCATTTTTGGAGTTTATAGTGTACAAGTTGGGGATTCGATTGGATTTCGGTGTTTTACCGTCGAATACTTCTTTATTTTGTCGGTGAGCTTGTTTGATTGCTTTGCATGTTATGATCGGTGTTCGAATTTGCTGATTTTTTCGTGTTTGGGTTTTATTGGATTACAAAAACAGCATCGATTGTCATGATCATCGGCAGTTATTGCTTCTTAATGGCAATCCATAAGAACAGTTCCTCATTTACCTTTTGGAATTTCCTCCATGGTAGCCCCCTCTTCCATCCCTTAGCTGCTAAATGCTTTGATTTTTGCACATTTATGTGGGTTTGTAGGTTGTGATGATTAGAGGCTTTTCATTCATTCAATTTAGGACAATGTTTTGATTCTGTTTGAGTTGCATTTATGCATCGTAATTTGTGAAATTGAATTGAGAGGGATACCAGTCTTTGATTTAGATGGAAGTTATGTACTTTGGGGGTTTGTTTTGGAATACCCATTTACCCACTTTTATGTAGAGAAAGATTAAGAAGTGTAAGATGATTCTCATCTGTAGTTGTTGGATCAAAACCGACAGATTAAATCGGTTCATATAATCGTAGAAAAGGCTAATTAAGTTCTATATATTTAACAGTAACTGAGCTGATGACATTCCTTTTTCTATCTAGTTTCACTAATTACAGCGACGAAACTCTGATTGTGATTGGCATGTTCTTCCAATTGTTTTTCGTTCTACTGTGTATCCCCTGTTTGAGATCTTCCACATACAGTGTCTTGCTTTGTTTTTTATAAAGTATTTTATATATATATATATACACGGAAAATACTCACGCACACACCTCAGCTTTGGTGAGATTTGAATGGAGGCTGGGCGCTACTGATAACCCATGTACCGCTGGGCCAATGACCCTTTGTTGTGTCTTGCTTTCTTGAAGATAAATGGAGATCCACAAGATTTCTCCTTTGCTTGATTCCCTGAAAAAGTCGGTGATTTGACTTTGATATATTAGTTTGTAGTGATTCCAAAGACGGCATACTGTAGGTCCTTCAATAGTAAAGTAAATGAATTTCTCGAAAGCGGTGGGAGGTGGAGCAAGGGGAATGTTATCTGGATCCGATGCGTATCACGCTTCAAGTGATGCCACTCTTTTCTCAAGTTCGTTACCTGTTTTGCCTCATGAAAAGTGTACGCATCCTCCTGCGAACGACTATGTCACTTGCACTCGAATGGGACTTTAATTAATCCGTTTCTTTTTGTTCAATATGCAGTGATTTTAAATAATACTGAAAACGGTCGTCAATCTGTGGAAGGCAATGATTTGCTTAAAGATATTGAAGAGCATATTGGAAGCTTGTTACCTGATGAGGATGAGCTCTTAGCTGGTGTGATGGATGGTTTTCATCCGAATTTGTTTCCTAACGGTGCGGATGAGTCGGAGGAGATTGATCTTTTTGGAAGTGGAGGAGGAATGGAATTGGAATCTGATTTGATCGATAGCTTGGGTATGGGGATGTCAAAGGTAAGTTTGGGTGATGGGGTTGCCGCCAACGGGGTGGCTGCATACAATCCTCCGAATGGTGTGGGAACTGTGGCCGGGGAACACCCGTATGGAGAGCATCCTTCGCGAACGTTATTTGTGCGTAACATCAACAGTAATGTTGAGGATTCAGAGCTAAGAACTCTGTTTGAGGTAAACTAACTCGAATTCAAGTGTCTGCGTTTGGTTGGGACTCGGCATAACAAAAAATTGTTGTCTCATGTTTGGCACGACCTTAGACTTGGACAGGATGAGATGAACCAAAATAGGTGGAACAAAAATCTAGGATCTAGGACAATATTGGTAAATTACTAAAATACCCATGTCAAATTAAAACCCTAAAACCTTCCATAATTCTTCCACCCACCTACCTAAGTGTCGCCCGTAATTCTGTTTGGTAGACGGGCGAGAGTGAGGTAGGTCAGGTGAAAGAATTGCGGAAAGTTTTGAGGGTTTTAATTTGACATGGGTAGTTTAGTGATTTACCAATCTTTTCCCATCTCCTTGTTTTCTAGTTTCATCTATTTTGGCGGGATAGAAAAAAAGGCATTTTTGTCCCACTTGGGTCCTGGTCCATTCTAATGCCGCACCAAACGTGGGTCAACAAGTTTTTGTCCTGTCTCGGGTACCAAATGCACCGTAAAGTCCACATTATGGTTTGAATTTCTATGACGGGTCTTATGACTTACTATTGACATTTGGTAAACTAACTTGCACTTTATGTATTTTGAAGCAATACGGTGATATTAGAACACTGTACACCGCATGTAAACACCGGGGGTTTGTGATGATATCTTATTATGATATTCGTGCTGCTCGAACTGCTATGCGTGCGTTACAGAATAAGCCTCTACGGAGGAGGAAGCTGGACATTCACTACTCCATCCCAAAGGTTCGAGTTACACCCTCTTCCTCAATCCTCCTTTTTTTTTTCTCTTTTTCTTCATTTTCTATCATAATTTAATAATCATTTTCTGACCAGGATAACCCATCGGACAAAGATATAAATCAAGGAACATTGGTTGTTTTTAATTTGGACCCGTCGGTTTCATGTGACGACCTTCTTCAAATATTTGGGGCATATGGCGAGGTTAAAGAGGTAATAGTTTTCCTTCTTATCTACAATGCCGTTTCTAATGAACTTAAGTTGAGGGCCAGCTCAACTGGCAAATAAAGGCTAAGCCCGGGGCTCCTCCCCATAGGTTGCCGGTTCGAGCCATTGGGGATTTTCCTGGCTGTTATCTTCAGGATCCCATGAGATTAGTCAAGGTGTGTGTTAGCTGGTCCGGACACCCACAGTTACCAAAAAAAGTGAATATCCTTGGTACATGTCCTAGAAGGCTTTTTTTAGAGCTCAGAATAATACCTAAATGTTTGGTATATGTTACGTGATAACAGATACGAGAGACACCGCACAAAAGGCACCATAAGTTCATCGAATATTATGATGTTAGAGGTGCAGAAGCAGCACTTAGGTCTCTGAACAGGAGTGACATAGCTGGGAAACGCATAAAGCTTGAACCTAGTCGCCCTGGTGGAGCTCGTCGAAAGTAAGTAAAGTCTGTATTCAAGTTGATGTGTGACCTCCGGCCGATGAAAATTGCAATGTTTGACTTAGTCAAATGACTAAAATGTTCCTTAATAATGACAAAATAGGAGGATCTTGTGGTAATGGCGATAACGGTAAACTCAGGTGATTTTAGCTTGAAAACTTACGGTAAAAAGAAACGTTCACAATATTCATGGAACTTCCCCAATATGGGAAGTGTTGCAATTACCATGGGACAGAGGGAATACTGTTTACATGACGCTGACTAATCTCTTAACCTTTTTACTGCACTATCTGAACCGTAACTGTTACATGATCGATTGTGATTTCAGCCTAATGTTGCAATTAAGTCAAGAGTTTGAGCAAGATGACACTCGAAGTCTGAGACTCCAAGTGGGTTCCTCGATTGCCAACTCTCCTCCAGGTGACACATTGTGTAATACTTGTGATCTTTTAAACTTCCATGTGTTCGTGTGGGTTTAAGCATTGCACCCACCATGGAAACACCTGCTCTACTCTTTTGGGGGAAGAGGTGAGGTCCGCTTACATTTTACCGCCCCCTGACCTCACATCAGGTGGGATATTCTGGGTTCGTTTGGTTTGATTTACTTCTTTGCACCGACTCTACCACTGTGCAGGTGTCTGGCCACAATTTGGCAGTCCTATAGAACACAGTCCGCTGCAAAGTCTTAGCAAATCGCCTGTCTTTACTTCAATGAGCCCTACCATCATTGGCAACAGTTTGCCTGGGCTGGCTTCTATTTTGCATCCTCAACCAGCAAGGATAGCACCAATTGGCAAGGACCATGGAAGGACTAACCGTAACCATCTTGAACAAAATATGTTCAATGGAAGTTCAAACAGTGGATCCACATTTCAACAATCTCATTCACTGCCAGAGTCCAAATTGAGTCAGTTTAAGGAACCCATGTCCTCTTTTGGTGGTTCAAGCTCAACTGGTTCAGGAATTGAAACGTTATCTGGTCCACAATTTTTGTGGGGTAGTCCCAATATATACTCTGAACAACCCAAGGGACCTAGCCATGGCTTTCCTGTCACTGGTCGATCACCAACCATGGCTCATCCATTTGCTACGACCAAGGGTCCCCCGACCCATGGGTTTCCCATCGCAGGGCGCCCTGCATCTTTGCTTGGTTCATCACAACACCACCATCAGCATCATCATGTTGGATCAGCACCATCTGGGATCCCATTCGAAGGGCATTTTAGTCGTTATCATGAGTCTCCTGAAACATTGTTCATGAGTCCTCCCGCTTTCGGAGGTGTAGGTATAGGTCATATTGACAGAGGCTTCTTAGGTTCTCGTGGGTCTGTTGAAAACGGTTCTCCAAGTTTCAGCACCATGTCTTCTCCCAGGCTTAATCCCATGTTTCTTGGTAACGGACATTACGCAGGGCTGGGACCCACTATTGTAGAAAGTATGAGCGAGCGTGGACGGACCCGACGTGTTGACCAAAATGGAAGTCAGACAGATAGCAAGAAACAGTTCCAGCTCGATCTTGATAAAATCACGAGTGGGGAAGATACGCGAACAACTTTGATGATAAAAAACATTCCTAATAAGTAAGACCTCATTTTCCCACTGCAATTTGGGCACTTAAAAGATTTCAACTTGATTCTTCTTTTTTGTACTTTTAGGTATACTTCAAAGATGCTGCTCGCTGCCATTGATGAAAATCATAGTGGCACTTATGATTTTCTTTACTTGCCCATCGATTTTAAGGTATAATTTAGCATTTCTTGCTAGTTGAAGCAACCCCCACCCCCTTTTTGGGTAGAACTGATGGGCTTTGTACTATTTGATGCAGAACAAATGCAATGTTGGGTATGCGTTTATCAACATGCTTTCGCCGATGCATATAATCCCATTTTACCAGGTCTGTTCTAAAGACTATAGTTAATCCTTTGTTCAAAGGGGATAATCACAAAAATAGCCAAATTGGGAGTTGACCCATCTCAAAACGACATACTTCTTCCAAATTAGCACAAAATAACCACCTACTTCAATGGGAAAAAACCCACCTATACCAGGAGGTCCCAGGTTCAAATTCAAGGAGGAATAAAAATCCCCTTGTAGCCACGGTGGTTCAAGCCTAGGCTATCTGCAAAGCAGGTGATTACCGTAGGATTAGTTGGCTCGCATAGCGGGTTGGTTAATAAAAAAAAACCACCTATTTCGCAAAAACTAAACTTTTTTTAACAGTACCTTTTTTCGATTTTTGTGAGCCCACTTCGGAAAAGGGCGAATGAATTTTTTTGAATTTTTGGATTTTGCTCATGGTTTTTGCCAAGTGGACCTACGAGCAATGTGCCAAGAAGTACATTTTGCAAAAGAAGTCGGTTCGTTATGAACTTGGTGGTTATTTTGTGCTAATTTGGAAAAAGGTTGGTCATCTTGTAATGGGTCGACTACGATTTTGGTTATTTTTTGTGATTATCCCTCGTTGCTATTGACCAGTTTACCCTCAAACTTTTGTAAATCACATCACATAGAACGAAGGAACTTTCGTAAATCCTGAAACCAACCACTCTACTCTTTGGGTAGAGGCCAGGTTTGCGTGCATCCCACCCACTAGACCCTACTTCCGAGTGGGACATACAGAGTGTTTTGGTTTATTATTTCAAAGGATGAAAATTGTAGTTAAATGGAAGTCTTCAGAGGTGATGTACATTGCGATTTAGGTTTTCAACGGGAAGAAGTGGGAGAAGTTCAATAGCGAGAAAGTGGCATCGTTGGCATATGGTCGTATCCAAGGAAAGGCGGCCCTCGTGACCCATTTTCAGAATTCCAGCTTGATGAATGAAGATAAGCGTTGCCGGCCTATTCTCTTTCACTCCGAGGGATCAGAGTCTTTTGATCAGGTAACACTTGTTGCTTATTGATTATTTGTTAAATGTCTAAAATACCCGTCTACGAAAGACAATCAAGAATCTCATGTACCCAGATATACATCAATCAGGGTTTGATCATTCATAATGACGAGTATTTGATTAGCGTTTTCTTATCGATCATTTACAAGTTACAGGAACCTCAGCCATCTAGTAGCTTGAACATCCAAGTGCATCCATACACTTCGGCTAGCCCTCCGGAAGATTAAGGTTAAGGGTGAAAACGTCTTTTTGACGAGTTGTAGCAGACTGCTGACTTTTGACGGTACATATTATATGATTATGTATAGAAGTAGGAGATAAAAAAGATGAAGGTGCAAAGGGGGGTTTTTTTGTGTGTATTTTGACAAGAAAAGAAAGAGGTGAATGACCTTGAAATGTATAGAGGATTAGGTGGAGAGATTATAAGCTATTTCCTGTTTTTCAGCTCTTCATTTTGGAATTGTATAGTGGAAGAAGGGAGAAACACTTGTACTACTTTTGTGCTTCATATTTACTTGTCTTAAGGGGCCATTTACCTAAACACTTACCCGGTAAGTGCTTAACGGTAAATTTCAACTCTATCTCTTACTTATTGGGTAATATTTTAGTCTACCAAACGATATAGTATGTAATAATTTACCCGGTAAGCGTTAACCGTGGTAAGAGTCGTCATCACTTACCGGGTAAGACTCGATTCGTGCATTCGTTCTTACCAGGTAAGATTCTTGGTACTTGTCATAAGCGTTTACCCAAAGCGTTTACCCGAGTAAGTATTTGGTAAACGCCCCTTGTTTGTTTGCACATGCCAAGTGCCTCATGTTTTCACAGAAAACCATTGTCTTCTACTTTTCAATTGAATGCCTGCCATTTTAGGAACTCCTTTTTACATGGAAAATCTCTCTTTTTGTTGGCCAAAAAGTTAATCAGCCCCTAACAAAACCTGTCTCCAAGGACACCAATGTAAGGGGACATTTTTTGGCTTACTCGGGCTAGTGAGGAACCCTAGATCGATTTCGGGATCTATCTTGTATTTGGGCAAAGTCGTCTCACCCCTTTGATAATTGAATTACACGTGAAAGATCGTGTTCGGAATCATCAGCTTCAATAAAATGAAATCATCAACGCGTGATTTGATCAAAACTCAATTTCACAATCTATAATTGGTGTTTACAGAATTATGATTTCTAAAGGGTAAAATGCACAAAATAGCAATCTACTTTCATGAATTTATTTATTATATTATTGTACTTACAGTTTTTCTTATTACAGCAATATACTTTCAAACTATTTTTTATTAGAACATTGTACTTTGAAAATTTTACCCATTATAGCATTGGATAATCTTTTGATTTAAATTTACCCATTATACCAGGTTTTCATGCCACCTCATTGTCCACATAGGCTGTCTATATGTACTATACTATAGTGATGTGACTTTCTTATTACAACATTATACTTTCAAAATTATTTTATTATAGCATCTACTAATTCTTATTAAATAATGTATTTTGAATTTTAATATTTAGATATTTTACATGTTATTTAATAAATATATTAAATGAATTAAAAAAATTCTAAATTATTCATTAATATATCAATATTAATAAAACTAGTATAAGACATCTTATTTCGTTAATATTTTTAAAAAAATATGTGTTTGAAAAAAGAAAATAAAAAATTGTTCATTTTTTACTAAAAAAAATATTATCTTTTAAAAAATATGTTATATTTATTTAAAAATTTTACTTGACGTATAAATATATTAAATTAATTAGATTTTTTTGAATTATTTATTAATAACACAATATTAAAAATTTGTAAAACATAATTTATTTCGTTAACATTTTAGAGAACTTTAAAAAATATGTATTTTTTTGAACAACATAAAACAAGAAGTGTTACCTTTTTACAAACAAAATATATCTTGAACATAATGTAGCATATTTATTTAAGAAATAGTTTACTCTAGAATATTTAATTTGCATGCAACTTAATAAGAAAAAGTCAAAAAAATTAAATGTTTTCTTAAATCATAGCAATGAAAAATGAAAATCACTAATAATAATTTGAAATAGATTTTTATTTTTGATTTAATTAAGTCATCAAAATGATGTGTCATCTACATCACCTCATTAAAGTCACACAAGCAAAAAAAATCAAGGGGTTAACCGGTTTAAAAGACAACATGTTACCCATTACTATAATTGGTAGATTTTTTAAAGTGCGATACCTTAATAAAAAATAATTTGAAAGTACATTGCTATAATAAAAAAAAAAACAAAAGTAGAATGTTATCATAAGAAAATTTATGAAAATAAATTACTATCTCATGTATTTAACCATTTTCTAAAATACGTCCTTACTGCAACATTGTACACCAAAAGGGACTTCTGAGTTGGAACTTATTTATCGATGAACAAGATTTCTTTCACCACAATACAAACATACATCCAGTCTATAAAATCCCATTCAACCAGAGCATGTGGAGTCTATAAAATCCCATTCAACCAGCATGTGGAATCTGCACAAAACCTGAACATGCATATATATATATATATATATATATATATATATATATATATATATATATATATATATATATATATATATATCGAGAGAGAGGGGCAGGATCAAATAAGAACGATGCATATTTAAAAGAACACAAAAACAGGCAACATGTGCAAAATCATGTGAGTTCACATTAATAGTCAAAAAAAGTGTCTAGACGACTTGTGGCTGCGTTAGTCGCCGGGCAAGGCCGCCTAAATCACATGTGATTTTGTATGTAACATTAGTGTAACATCACATGTGATTCGCCCGTTTTCATGTTCTTTTAAATATATACCAATCTCGTTTAATCCTCCCCCCCTCTCTCTCTCTCTCTCTCTCTCTCTCTCTCTATATATATATATATATATATATATATATATACATGCATCCAGTTTATATAGATATGTATATATATTACAAAACCACCATGTACTTCACTAAGATTGATGTATGGTTAGAGAAGCCATAAGGTGAGGTGGGCTCTTTCCAATCTGTAAGAAGTTAGCTCAGTTTATAACAACTTGTAGCCTAAAAGTTACAGCAGGTGTGCACATATTCAGAACCAGCAAGTTATTAAAGCCCACCAACAAAAAGGTTGAACGTTCGAATCTTGTAATACATTTGTGGGTGTGGGTGTTCCACCATATAAAAAATTTAACGAGCATACCTATGGAAATGGCAACTCCGTTACAGATCTTCGAAAGACCTGCACACAAGGCATTCAAATTCGTAAATAGTGTGTTGCCAAGTGAGAGATGTCATTATAAGCATCATGTTGTGGCCTATCTTACACATCTATACCAGAAGGTGTCACCTTAGGGTTATTTAGCTAAATGACCTCTTGACGGTTGTTTTTTTAATACCATGACGGTTTTAATGACCTCTTGACGGTTGTTTCTAGGTCTTGTTATGGAAGTGATGTTCTATTAAGCAGTGACATTCTCAGACCTGTAAGAAGCTAAACTCTTTCTATTGGATAATAGGTCCTGGTGCACACTACACTCTTCAGAATAATTGAAACTTCCACCACTTCTCAATCCACAAAGTGCTTGTATTACTATTTTATCCCTAAATTCTGAACCTAATGAAAGGCACAAAGGCCCTTAAATGTAACTTTAACAACTAACCTCTAATTTCTTCTCACCTGTGTAGTTTGCATGCCTATTAGGCGCAAACTTGCATATGCTTCAGTTACCAACAGTTCACAAGATCGATATATTTGCTAATACAAGTCTTGATAACTTGCAAGACACTTCTGTTGTTAAAAACTAAACGTTTCTTCGTCTTAACTTTCTTTTTCTTTATGGAAGAACAGGCAAAAAACACACCTTGTGCCGAAGGATCTAATCCCTTGAAACATCAAATGATCTTCTATCGCATGATGAAATTGAAAGGCGAACTTGCTGATCAGTTTCAGACCTGAGAACTACCATAAAGGATGACAACTCGTTTAAGTTGTTAAGAATCAACCCTACTTTCTGCTCACCCTGTTTCCTCCTACTTTAATTGCACCTACAATCTGTGTTCTGTAATACCCCTATATGAAATTATCTGAACTTTTATCATGCTAATTGCTAAACTGCCAAAAAGGGTACAAATTTGTAAAAAAGGTAGCAGCAATATATAACAAGGACAAAGAAAGGGGTTAACAAATGGAACTTTTACCGTCATTGGATAACAAATATCAACTAAATGCTTTTCAACAATTACATAAAAATAGAGCGGAGAAACCAAGATCATGCACAAAATAGTTTCACATCAAACGGAAAATAAGAGGCAATGGTTTTCAGCTCATATGTTCTTTCTATTTGCTCATACATTTTTTCCTAACATCAACCTTTTGTACATGTCGTTGTAAACAAGGCTTGCCCGCCCGCCGTCGGCGGGGGGTGGGGGGGGGTGTCTTCACATAAATAAGCGCTCTGCTCCCCAGGTAGAGGTTAGGTCTGCATACACCCCCCCTCCCCCCTGCTGGCAGGACCCCATCTCTAGGTGGGACGTACGGGTTTTTTTGGTTTACAGTTACATAATCCCTTTTGCTCTCTTTACATATTTGGGGATGTTTTTAACGTTCTAATCCAGCACCCTAACTAGCTCTCACGAATAAGTTTTCATAACTTTATATTTGTTTATTGCAAGTACTTAACTTTATCATATGATTTGACAACCTTCTATGATCATGATTGTTTCTCAAGCAAGAATCATTACAGTTGAATACAAATAAGCAACGACTCAAGACCTTATTCTGTAGTTTTTTGGTAACGACATTATCATCGGACACTGTTCTTCTATCTCGGAAATCTTGTAGTCATTCTATGAACATCATATCAACAGCCTACACACAAACTACAAAAACTGCAAACAGAAATCGTTTAGCAAACTAAAGGCTAGCTTAAGGCAAGACTAATTCCAGCAGAACAGTCTTCAATTGTTATATATAGATAAGAAAGTACATAGAGCAATTAGGGATATGATGCCCATCTAAAATAAAAGCATATAAAGAGGATCATCAAATAAATAACAATACAAAGTCACATATCAGATTACATATATCCCAAAAAACAATCTATATGCACACCCTTGTGAGTTTCTAAGCTTCATTAACTGTACACTGCAAAACACAAATTTTCAGCAACTACAATCTTCCACAAACTATATTGAACTCCTATTGAGATGTCAAGAAAAGAAAGAAACATGGGGCAACTCAAGGCAACACCAGTGATGTTTTATTGTATAGATATCATATTAAAAGCTCAAGGAGGGATCGCGAGCATCTAAAATGAAGGATAATTTAAAAAAATGGAGCTGTAAGTGAGAAATAATGAGGAACAAGGGGCACTTAATCCTTGTTACCAAATCTCTTAGCAATAATAGGACGGACATCTTCAGCATCAACCAGAGTCTCTAGGAAGGGAAGTAACGAAATTAGTGCACAATCTGATGGGTCATCAAACCAACTCTTAATTGGAATGCCATTATTCACTTGCAATTGGAAAACCTGAAAACACCATGAGTAGATGAGGCTTTGAGACAAATATACGTTTATAATTTCTCAGGAATTTTCCATCCCTTAATATCCAAACAAATAACTGTTAGTTAAAGGGCAAATTGCATGAAAAAGTAACGTACTTTAACTTGATTCCTATTTTGGGTAACATACTTTTAAAACTTCTATTTTGGTACCTAAGATGTAAAGTTTTAAACATTTAAGTACCTGGGTAACCACTTGAAGACTAAAATTAGATTAAAAAAAATGACTAATTTTATATTTAAAAAATCCACGTCACTGACCACGTCAGCAAATAATACCGAGTTGGATACCACATCACTCGCCACAACAGCATGATAATCGGTTAATACTTCAACCAGTTACCCAACTTTACATCTTAGGTACCAAAATAAAAGTTTTGAAAGTACGTTACTCAAAATAGGAATCAAGTTAAAGTACGTTACTTTTTCATGCAATTTGCCCTTAGTTAAAATACATCAAACATCCATTAACACGTCCACCTTCACATAAAAAAGGTTAAATAAGCAGGCCACTAAGAAAAGCAGGAAAAAGAACCAGAAGAACCAATACTATCTAAGAAAAGCCAGAAGAAAAAGATCAAAAAGAAGAAGAAAAGGTATAATATAAAAAGGCTAGCCAGCATTTACCTGTGGGGAATTGTCAATTATGACAACTTTGGCAAGGTCAACACCTAAAACGGTTAGATCCTTGGTATAACTTCCATCTGCAAAGATACATGACTCTCTATAAGCTCGACGAGAGATGAACTTTCCATCCGGGTCCAGTATATCCAGAAGTTGGTTAGCATAAACGCTTTGACTGGCTGTGAATACAACAATATGAAACATTTCTGAAACTCTCTCCAAAAACGTCCTAACGTAGGGTCTCTGCTTCACATACACAGTATGCTCCTTCAAACTAGCAAATACTCCAACGGTGAAGTCTGCATCATCACAATGTTCCAGTGAAGAGTGGACCAGTGTTTCTGTATACCAAAGGAATTTAATTATTTTGATGAAGTTAAAACTCAATATGAACAGCAGCTTCAGGCAATCAAAACATCAAATGCATATCACTGCAGAATCCGACAACCGCGAAATACAATAAATTAATGGATTTGGTATGAACCAGTATGAATCAATCTTACGTAAATCACATTTTCATACCATCTAGATCAAGTACTAGGGTTATAGATTTTGTTTCCCTTGATTCCTGGGGCAATGTGCTGGGACCAAAACTTGTAGACATTTCCGGAAGGTCTACCAGATTCCTGATGAACATTTGTGGATCCAAGCACTCTGCTGGATCCCAGTCTGGATAAGAATTAATATCAGATTCCTGATTGCGGGTTTTCAATTGATGAATTGCCACATATATGCTTGAGTCTTCTGGAACGATGACAGGCTCAGAATGGATGCTACTATCTTCATAGTGACTCCCTGTCTCAATGCTATCCTCAAGAAAAGGAAGTAACATATATTCATCAGCAGAAAATCTACTCAATTCATCCCAATCATAATCAAATAAACATGTAGCCTCTGTAATGCCGGTATATGTGGAGTTTCTTTCATTGCACGAGCTACAAACAATCATGTCCGAAATGAAAAAGTCTGACACATTACAGTTTTGATATGCACATGACTTTCTACAGGTACCACACATGTTATTATCACCGCATGGTGGCAAGATAATATCATTTTCCCTCCCTACATAGACACAAGAAAAAAGGTGACTGTCAGAGCTGATGTCAATGCATTTCTTGTTCGTCAAGAACAAAATGTGGAAATAAATACAACATTCACGTTAGTATCGGTGCACTGCACATGTCAATATAAAAATAAATGACAAAATAACCATTGGTTTTGCAAGTTTCTACCTAAAGAGAGCATTGATAATTGATTATATATTCAGTTTGCCAAAATATCGATTTAAATAGCAGGGTAAACCGTAAACATTTTTTTATCTGTAGAAATACTTCCTGCAACAGGATTTCAGATCAAGAATGTTCGTCTGTGCTCCCGAAAACTGAACCCTTCTCCCACAACAAGGTTCCAATTTGCAGTTCCAAGCAAATAAACTCAATTCGTTTTGTATAACTTCCTTGGACCATCTAAACATCTATAAGAACATGGGAAGAAAATACGGTATCATATTTGAAAAACCACCACAAGTATCAAAAGAAGGTGCAAAAAATATAAATAAATTACTACACAAGACACTCCAAACGTTGATATGCATGTCAAGAAAAATATCCTTAAATTAAGAACAGCAGGTAGGTATGGAAAGCATTTTACGCCCATTCAAGTCAGTATACTTCCTTATATTTAAGAAGGAAATCGTTTCTCTGCAAATATAGGTGAAAAGAAATGACTTCTCTGAAAGTAAGGCATCTGGACCACTTCATTGTTTACCTCCATGATCGTAGATATTTGGTTCAATGTCATTGTTAATGGACTCCAGTATAGGTGAAAAGATTGTTTCTATGGTTGAGAGATTCGCTTGAGCATGATCCTGCATTCAATTGAAACTACAACAACGTAAGTTTGATGAGCTACAAACAGAAAAAAAGACAGAGGATGTTAAGATGTCATGGTTGAACATTTTACCGTCCTAGAACTGATGCCATCATCACTTGAAGACAATAGATGCTTCTGTACTTGAATTTCTTCATCTGCCAAGTCACAACAGTTGGTTTCATCACTTCTTATTTCCTGAACAGTTGCTTTACTGCAGAAATAATCTGTACAAACAATAAAAAACGAAATCAAAGAAAGAAAAATCATCAAAAAGATTGTTCTTTGTAATAGTAGAAAGTACATAAACAGAAAACATGCAATCTAGAATAATGGAGAAAACCAAAAAAACAAGCTTCTAAGTCATGTTTGATGGTGTACAGCACCAGTATATTAAAAATATATGCTTTGAGCTTTAAGTAACATCACCCTTGGGAAGAACTATCAGTTCTAATTAGCTAAATGAGAACATGGACTCTCAGATTCTAGCTAAATGTTATTATTTTAGTCCTGAAATAAACGAATATATTTTCTTATGAAGGTGAAAATTTCAAACAAGCTATCCGAGTGATCTCAGAAAAAATTGCATAAAGCCCCACATGACTGTCGTTGAATGATCATATAATAACATCATAGCGAATCTAGTTTCTCAGGTTCAGTGACCAACTATAAATTCCATGTTTACTTAGGGGACGCTTACCAAACACTTACCGGTTAAACGCTTATCAGGAGTCCCTACCTTCCACGTGAGCATGACAAGAACTTAGAATCTTACCCGGTAAGAGGCATAGTGAGGACCGAGAATCTTACCCGGTAAGAGGCATACCTAGTAAGTGCTTACAGGGTAAAAAACGCTTACCGACAATCCATTTTGATGGCTGAGAATGTTACCCAATAAGGTGAGGGTGGCGCTCTTGCGGGTAAGTGCTTACCTGGTAAGCGTTTGGAAACGGCCCCTTACTATGCATACTCCCAAGTTGTGCTACTTAATAACAATATGTATTAGCATATAACCACTAGAAAGAAAGTTAGCACTACAAACTTCATATTAGATATTCAAAGGTAATTGCCAAGTTCGGTTTTCACCATCCTGCTTGTTAAAAGTACAAGTGTCAAGTTCTGCTTCATGTTGAAAATTCCTGACGTGAGAGAATGAGTTCTTGGATATCTTGCTTGATTTTTGACAGACATGGAGACCATTGTTTTCTCTTAGAGAGTCTGCCAACGACTTCGTCTTCATCTTTAGTGATGGCATTTGATTTGTATCTTAGTCTATCACAGCCTAGACTCAAGAACATGAGTGAGTAAATACAATCCCGTTGAGTGAAGATATCAGAAGCAGATGTCTGTGATTACCCAAAAAGACAACCAATACATTAGTGTTTTAATTATACATGTATGAGGCAAAAGAAAAGGAAACAATAGAATCAACTGACTATGTAATGCTGCAAAAGCATGCCAAAGTTGAGTTAGTAACACTAATCAACACAAATTCCCTGCCTTATCCCAGGAATGCAGGTTCAAATCCAAATTCTAAGTTCCAAGTTCTATGGGCACAACTTTTACCATGCATATGTTTGTAGCTCCAAGTTCTATGGGCACAATTTAGTGGCCTCGTCCAATCTTTTTGCGTTTTAATATTGCATTTATAAATAGGTTAGCTTGCTCCATACAACAAAAAGACTTCTTATATATGAGAGGATATAATTAAACCATCAGCAACAATATAAAGCATATGCTAATATCAGAAACTAGTGAATTTTGCATCTTTCCTAGACAATCACATGTTATATGGGTGCCCAATGGTCGGCAGCTTACCGATTTAGTACAGAAACATTTTCATCACACATCCAAAGAGTCATATAGACCCACACAGAATTTTTTTGGAAAAGACAGTCATAAACTTATATACTTATTTTATATCTATAAAATACATTTTTGGAACGTGTTGTATACGGGTGAATCTTATGCACATCAATTCGATAAATTCAATCTCAAACTAACAAAATTCAATTCTAATATCGACTAAACATTCTCCTAGGAAAAGAAAAGTCACACAAGCAATTCAACCCACTAAGAAACAAGTTAAAAGGGAGAAAATTCTAACTGAAGAAATAAGGTACGTGTTTCTATATGTAGATCTAACATTTACAGATACATATAAAGCATTAGAAGCT